TACTGTGCTGCTTGCCATACCATAGTTGTCACAAAAGACTTGCTTTTATTACTTCGAGGAGCTTATAACTTTTCTTTTAAATTACCTTTTTGAGTTGCCATTTTTTCTTAGATGTAATCTACCCTTAAGATTAAATTTAGATAAACCTTCAAAGTTCAAAAATTCAACTAGTTAAAAAAAATTTAGGTAAAATTCAGAAAACAATTTATATACAGTATTTTTGTCAATAAAACAATTTATATACAGTATTTTTGTGAATAAAACTTCTGAGATATTACAAAAGGGACATGTTTCAGTGTCTAGAATTAGTGTCTCAACTAAGCATCTAATAAGGTGCTTTACTCTGTTTTCTGTTGCTATAACAAAATATTTGACTTCAGGATATATCATAGAGAATAGTTTTATTCAGTTCATGTGTCTGGAGCCTGGGAGGTCCAAGGTCAAGGCTCTTCTTCTGACAAAGGCCTTTTTGAAATTGGAGTTTTCTGTTAATTCCCAAAGCAGCAAAGGACATCAGTAAGAGGGGCCCATGCAAAAGACAGAGTCAAATGGAGCTTTTTATAATAGACACACACTTGAAATAACCTACCAACTCATTAATCTGTAAAGCTATGAATGCATTATTCTGTTCAGGAGAGCAGAGCTCTTGTGACCTCTTATAGATCCCACCAGGTCCCTCTTCATACTGCACAATGGGGGTTAAGTTTCAATTTGAGTTTTGATGGGGACAATCAGACTGTATAATAGGGGCAGCACAGTTGTTGGACTGGTTGGGGGTCTGTTGTCTTTGTGCCCAGTGTGGACAAATGTAGAGATGGTATTAGGTCTCAAGACCTGCAAGTTTTTAGGCAACATGCCTTATATACCACCTATCCTCTAGGTCTGCTGGGCAGTGGTCTATGAACCTGGCAGAGTTAAAGGAGTCTTATGGGCACTTTTAACAAACTCACATTCTCAACTCTACACACAGAGCATCTGAATCAGTAAAGGAGATGTGACATTGATACAGAGCCCTGCAGCACCAGCCCACCCACCATATGCCATGCATAGAGCAGCATTTTAAACCACATAATGTGGACAAGTTGGGAGAAGAAAGAGATCACACGGAAGGTACAGCCAGAGCTGAAGGATACAGTGGGGAGTGACTTAAGAAACCAAGGCTGAATAGGGACAATAACATTGATTCTACTCTGTCTCCCTTTATTATATTCCACAGACTCCAAAGCCACTTACAGCCATAAGATACTCTTCTTCTTTTTCATGTCTGTCATGTGACTCTGTGTGTCTGTCTACATGTTGGGGAGTTTTCCTCTATCTTCTTTTGTTCATTTCTTTGCCATAGACACTTAAGTAGAAAGTAAGAATGATACACATGATAGAGAGATGTAGATTTCTGGTAAAGTGAATTGAGACTGAAAAGAAAGACACTTAGGTGGAAACAAGACAAGAAAAAGCCCAGAGGAGCATATATTAAGTGGTTCCTTATGAATGGAGAATAACAGTATTATTTTCTTTCATCTTCTGAAGATGTCCTGACTACTGAGCACATTAATTTTTCAGTTTCCCAAGTGAATGGCTTTATTTATAAAGATGATAGTATCATCATTGAAAATGATTTTCCATCAAAAGTCCTATAAAGAAAATTCTCTGCTGTTCTTTCTGAAAGATTGCCATTCATTCAGCAGATATTCATCCCTGAGGATATTAGCCTCACGGATTTTACACCCTGATGGGGAGATACATATACAGGCAGGTGCAATGCTGAGGGGTAGGTGATGCAGGAAAGGAGCCCTGAGGAGAAGGCTTCACCATTCTTGGGAAGTGATGGAGGACTTGGAAAGGAAGAGAGATCTCAAAGCCATATCCTAAAGGGTGGAAAGAGCTAACCAAGAGTGACCAGAGAATTGACAATGCCATGCCTTGGGGATGAGAAAGCAAGATCTCTTGTCTGGGAACTAAGAGTGGTCCTAAATGGCTCCACTGAAGTAGACAAAAAGAGATGAGGCTGAGAGCCAGATCACGAAGAATCTTAAGCATTATCCAAAGAAGTTTGAAATGTATACTCCATTCCATATACAGTTTTTTTTTTTTAGAGAGAGAGAGAGACAGAGAGAGAGAGAATTTTTTTAATATTTATTTTTTAGTTTTCGGTGGGCACAACATCTTTATTTTATTTTTATGTGGTGCTGAGGATCGAACCCAGCGCCCCGCGCATGCCAGGCGAGCACGTTACCACTTGAGCCACATCCCCAGCCCAACAGTTTTTATATTTAACCTTCTTTTTTTTCTTTCTACTACAGACCTCACAAGTTAGAGGCATTACCATTCTGTTTTTCACAAGTAAACAGACACTTGGAGAAGTAGGCATGTGAGCAGAAACATAACTGGTGTCCAGGCTTGCTTGCAAGGTTGGCCCATGGCTGGATTTGGGGAACTTTAATAAGACACAATTCCCAATATGGATATAAAATTTTTCCAAACTGAGAAGGGTGGATTTCTATGTCTAGACTGTGCAAACAATATGACATGCTAGAAATCTACTTTCCTTCTGTGTTCCTGGAACTTTGATACATGCTAAAGCAGAAGATGACTAAAAAACTTTAGTATTGAGTCTCTAGGGGTCTTTCCTAGACAGATACATCACACATATGTTGCTGTATTTTCATAGTTGAGTGAAGAGTGTGTTCTGTGTGATCCTTCTTGAGAGGAAGACAACTTAAGAAAGCTGACATATGGATTCCTCCAGTCTCCATGTATTTTTTCCTCCCATGAACCTCTGCATATTCTTACTACAACTCTGTGATAAAGCTTAGTCATGAATACAATTACATAATAAGAAACATGAGGGGCTGGGGATGTGGCTCGGGCGGTGGCGCGCTCGCCTGGCATGCTTGCGACCCGGGTTCGATCCTAAGCACCACATACAAACAAGGATGTTGTGTCCGCCGAGAACTAAAAAATAAGTATTTAAAAAAAAAATTCTCTCTCTCTCTCTCTCTCTGTCTCTCACTCTCTCTTAAAAAAAAAAAGAAAAAAGAAACATGAGTCCTTCCAGGAGTCTTCTAACAGAGCGAGGACATCCAATATTCATGCTATGAATATTTACCTATCAACGTTTATAGAATGAGAAGATAAATTGAGCTTTCAAAAGGTAGAGGTATTATTCAGATATACACACAGGTATACACATATTCCGTAGTTATACACCAAAACTTGTTTAATCAGTTTGATCTCTCACCATATTTCTCAAATTCTCAAACACCACTTTGACTTACTTTTGACTCATCCCTTCAAATTATAGATATTTGCTAGCTTTAGGAGAATATAAAGAAGGAGCCACTCACTCTTAGGGTAATTTCCAAACAGGAGATCCAGAAAGGGCAGAACTCCAAGGTATTTTTTAAAATGAAGGTGAATCCATAAGAAATCCAAGGATTTCCTGGTTAGATGTGAGCAGTCCCTCTTAGGTAAGCCTTTGGGATCCTTTCCACCACGTTTGTCTTGCTCTGGTCCAAGGAGGAATTGTGAAAATGATGCATTTACTGCTGCTCCCTGCTCTCTATTTGACCTTGGAGCCCTTCAAATCAGGAGATCCAGAAAGGGTTTCAACAATGGCACAAGCCCTATGGATGTTTATAACATCCCAGGAAAGCTTTCTTCTTTTCTTTTATAAGTGAAGAAAGAACTAATTGTACAACTTCTGGTACTCTAAAAGCAACCACATTATTGTCGTGTGTCACTCTAATGCAGACGATTTTTCTGGTTACATTAAAAAATGCATTAGTGTTGATGAAGTAATAGCCACGGACTAAATTCTTTTATTAATTTATATTGGGAAAATTCTACTCCAGGCTTACTTTAAAAGAATTTCTCTTTAAACAATTAAAAGAAATTCTTGACCTTTTCATTGAACTTTGGATAACGTCTGAAGGAACTTATATTCAATCAGGAAATCTTGGCTTTCTTATGGCTTCATTTTCAAAAATACCTTGGAGTTCTGTCCTTTATTGAGAACTGGCAATGGGGTAACTGTATTGAGTAGTCCTTCTTAGGTGGGCCTTTTAGTTCCTTTTCATAGTCGTCTCACTCTGGTCCAAGGAAGAATTGTGAAGCAATGGGTTTACTGCTCCCCACTCTCTATGTGACCTGGAAGGCCTTCATGATAGCCAAGTTCGTCTCCAGTCTGGAAGTAGAGAGCATCACTTCCTAAGTGTGGCTGGGCTGGTTTTTATCTTTGTTTCTTGTCTAACTGCTTGTTTGATGTCAGGTCTTGTGTAAGCAAAGAGGACTTACGGTCCGTAAGTGGACTTTGATACAGAAGTCCCTGGAGCTCATCTACGTGGTGATTTCCAGCAACGTGCAGCTTCTGAGGGAAGTTTTCTTCCTAGGCTCTTTGCACTGTTTCTGTTCCTACTTTGTTGCCTTCCATCTTTCACTTTTCTCTCTTTTTTTCTTTCACTGATTGCATTGTCAGATGTCTCCCCTCAGCTGGTCATAAATGTTTATCTTCATACTTACTGCACTTGCAAAATGTAGTGTTGTGTGTCTTGTTCATAATTCTAAAAACAAATGAAGCATTTTTCTGTATTTCCCTCTTTATAACAGCTTAATAGAAATGCCCTTTATTCATATGAGCCTAGATTCTTTCAGTCATGTTTGAACAGGGGATTGTTTTATTTATTTGACTTCATTGTGTCCTTCTGGGTCAGTTGCTTCAAGGAAAGTATATTTCAATTGCTGATACGCCTACCTAGAACCAATTGAATGCCAGTAATAATTGGGTTCTAACCAAAGTGTAGGTTATGTATGCAGGCCCTTGTGTTCAGGGGATTGATTAATGAAGCGAGTGTTGGGGGATTCATTGTTGCTTGTGGCATTGTTAGTTTCAGAAGAAAAATTTCCTGAGGATTCTAGTAATATAAAATCTGACTTTCTTAATTCTCAAAAAGAAATAGTTATTGTATTATGTACATTGTGGCCTTTTGTATTTTCCTTTCCAGTTTTCCAGAGAGATGGTCCTTCAGAGCCTACACATCTGTTCTGTATTTTGACCCCTGGATGAGAATATTCATTCAAGCCAAAAGAGTTCAAACAAAACACCTATGTTATTGCCTCTACCAACCCAGGTAACTCGCCCTCCTTCAATTATCTTCCTAGAGCTTTAATTTAGAAAATTGATATACTCCCCCAAATTGTCAAAGTGAGGGCACTAGCTTTGATAGTAAGATTTTTATTTTGTAAGCAAAATTCAAACTGCATTCAGGAAGAATCTCTTTAGCAAAGAGTTTTTGCTACAGAGTGCTCACATATGACAATATTTGTCAGTAATTGGAACACACTGAAGTGAGCATTCAAGGTTAGATAATCACCCCAAAGCAGGAAGTTGTTTTTCACTTCAGTGAATCTCATGTGCTTTTATTATGATTGGTTCCATCAAGAAATCACAGTTCACTTATAATTTCTCATATAATATATTTGAACTATTAAATAATATGTTGTCTGTGCTCACATGTTTTGTTCAATGATGGACTGCATGCATGATGGTGGCCCCATAATATACATGCCCCTTCAGGAAGCAATGATTGAATATATGTATTTACCTATATTATACATATAGAATGAACATCTATTCATACACACTTGGTTTATTTATATTTAATTTACTTTTTTGTGTTTTAGTGTGAAAATTTTTAAATTTAAATTTTCTTACCAAAAAATATATTATCCAGCTATCCATTAAGTCAGAATGGTCATGTTTTGTGCAGTTATTCACTTATATGCCAAATAATTATAAAAAAATCAGAGAGTCTGATCATTCTCAAAAGAATAAATACAAATGGCTGACAAATGTATGAAAAATGTTCAATATCATTAGCAATTAGGGAGATGCAAATCAAAACCACACTGAGATTTTATCTCATATCAATGAGAACGGCCACCATCAAGAAAACAATAATAAATGCCAGAGAAAATATGAAGGAAAAGAAACACTTTTACACTGTTGGTGGGACTATAAATTAGTACAACCACTATGGAAATCAGTATGAAGGTTCATCAAAAGACAAGGCATGGAACCCCATATGACCCAGCTATACCACTCCTTGGTATCTATCCTAAAGAATAAAAGTCATCTTAACTACTGTGATACATTCATACCCATGTTTACAGCAGCACAATTCACAATAGCCAAACTGTGGAACCAGCCTGTTTCCATCAATGGATGAATGGATAAGGAAAATGTAGCATATAAACACAATGGAATTTTCTTCAACCATAAAGAAATACGAAATTAAGTCATTTGCAGGAAAATGGATGGAACTAGAGACCATCATGTTAAGTGAAATAAGTCAAACTCAGAAAGTCAAGGATTATATGTTTTCTCTCATGTGTGGAAGCTAGAGAAGAAAAAAGAAAAAGAAAGGTGGGAGTGGATCAGTAGAGAAAAGGGACCAAGGTTGGAGAACAAGAGGGAAGGGAGAAATGCTGGAGAGTGATAGTGGCCAGATTATATTGTTCTATTGTGTGCATGTATGAATATGTAAAACACATCCTATCATTATGTCAACTACAATGCACCAATAAAAATGTGGGGGGAAAAGAAAAAGAAAAGAGAAAAAAACTGTATGAGATTGTACTGTACAAAGCATAAAAAAGACAGGGTTAATTCTAATTCTAAGGAGTTTAATATCTACTGGGAGAGACATTTACTTGCACACTGTCTATATATGTGTCTTTGTACCTGCATTAGCCTTTGATTTCTGCCGTGATCCTGTGGATTGGTTTTCAATCACGATTTTAGACATCAAGACAAGAACTCAAATAATCTGGCTCCAGTTCTTTACCTATCCAAATTTGATGCTCCTTTTCCTGTATCACATTCACTCTTTATAATAGACCAACATTTTTCATGTTGTCTTATTTTCATGAAAAAACATTTGCTGACCTGGAGCTTTGCAACCATTAGTGTAAGTATTAAAATAAAATAAAAAATAGACCTCTGTGTTTCCCTGATGACAAACAGTTTTACTGATTCCTCAACTGTTTTACTTTTTGTTTCTAATTATACCAAAGATCATTTTTTGAAAATAAAGTATACAAAGCTGAACTTTTTCTGTACGTCCGTTTCTGTGTTCCCTAGCAAATATCAAAGCAATGTTTCCTTTCAGTCTCATTCTTCTGGAAGGTACCCAGGATCTCTTGGATCATTCAGGAGAGCTGATTTTTTCAAATTAATCATTCTTCTCTTAGAGGTCATAGGTAAAAAAAATAGCTTAAACCAATAGAAAATGTGAATTTGTCTCTTTCCAAGGGAATTTTAGTAAATTGAGTTTCATCCAGCAAAATTACTTCCCTCAAGTGATAGGTGTTTCCAATTCTAGTATGTTTTTTATTCTCCTTTCAAAGTAATATTCTTAGATATATAGTACCATGAATAGATACTGTGATGTGTATATATATGTATGTTTGTATTTATTTGGTTTCATAAAAGAAATTCAAAGAGGCTTAAATCTTTGCCAAGTTTTATTTAGAGTGCTGATAAACTGTTAAATCTGATATTTGTTATCTACCATATAGAAAGATGTATTTTGTGACCTTATACCTTAGGGTTTGCCTCTCTATTTGCTTGCCATCTTTACTTATATATAATTTCCCTCAGAATCTCTGGTGGCAGAAGTCTTGCATAAGAAATATGTGGAATTCCCTAATGGGACAACCCCTATTTTTTTCTTTTCTAAAAGACACTGTAGCTCCAATGTCTGCATTAAAATATATTAAGAGCTGGGATTGCCCCTGTTTGACCAAAGTAGAGGCATTTAAAGGGTATTAAAAAATGATTGCTCTGTCCATTTGGCCACCCTGGCTTCAATAAATTTCTGGAAATGAAATGGGAAACCAAGGTTGCCCCTAAAAGAACTCTGTCATCCTGAAGTTTTATTTACAAGAATATGTGACTACTCTTCATGATCAATTATTCTTCTACACTTTTGTAACAAGCAGGAAAATGTCTGGATCCATATGGGTCTGTAGTTGCTTTAGCAGTAGCCCTCAAATATGCTTAACAAGTTCAGAAGAGGGGAATTTCTGATGTCATGTCATTGGTTTCCTTCCTTGATCATATTCTGTTCAGTATTTTTATTAGTGACTTGGATAAAAAACAAACTTGTGTGTTTCTTGAATTTGTAGTTGACCCTGATCTAAGAGGAATGTCTTACATTCCTAACAGAAAGAATATGTGCAAGAGTTGAAGTCCAATAGATATGTGTGATATAGACAATGTATAGATCAGAATTATTATGTGAGTGTAGATTTGACAATTATTTACATGAAAAATTGCATGCAAACTTTAATTGACCACAAGGTCACTACTAGCTGATAGTGTTTTAGGGTTGCTAAAACATGCTTTTGGAATACCAATAGGATAGTTAAAATACCAATCCACCGTGTTGTGCTTACACTATGTTTAGAGGGAGATGCCCAGACAGGAATCCTTCAAGAGGGACACACTGACTTACTGAAAAGTTTCTAGCTCATAGGAAAGTAACTATCTGGTAAGAGAATAGCGATGGAACTGAGGCTTATCCATGGAAGAGAGAGAGTTTATAGCTGATTGGAAACATGAAATGCTATCATGTGATAGTTGGAATTCCAGAAGGCAGAACTTGAAAGCTAAATGAAAGTAGAAGACAGTTACAAATGGCTCCTCAAGGAGTGTTAGGCTGTTTTTACAAGGAAGAGACAAATGGATTTCCTTTTTCCATTGGTGTTTAATATAAAGATAGTCCTAGGAGTCATGTAGCAGGGAGTGTTAAAACTGCCTCACCGTCAACATTGACTCAGTGTTTCAATGCCTGTGATGTTCTGGAGAACAGAAATGATACACCAGTGTTGCTCAGGATATATGTTCGTTCCACGGACCTCTTTGCTGAGTATACGCAGCATTTGGTCCTCTCAGGGAGTTTTCAACCATAAAATTCAAAAGCTTCCCCATTGGGTTGAATTTGGGGACCAGTCACTTGAGAAGGCTTTACTGCTTATATGGCTTCCTTAGGTTGAGCATGAGTCCCTAGTCTATTTAGCAGATTAGGAGTTCAACTACTAAATCTAGTGTGTCCAGAATAGCAGATTAATTTCTGTGGACACCCATGGCACAGGGTATAGCAACTCATAGAGGGCTATGAATGTAGCATGAGATCAATGAAATGCCTCATGCCCTCCAGCACTAGAAGAAAGTCCCACCCAAAAAGAGCAGTAGAGATTTGTCTTTTGAGGCATCTAAATTGTGGAATTATTAGTTTAGGAAGAATTTTAGCAAGATGATATCTAGCATCCCTTTTAACTTAAAATTTTATAAACCTCTAATTCCTCTTTTGTAAACCTCTACTTAAATAATAAAGGCAGGTTACTATATAGCCATGTTACTTACTGTTTAGGCAACAGGCATCATTAATTTTCTTTGAATTTGAATTCTACAGAGAAATAACTCTCAGATTTATATACACATTAAAGCTATGCACATTAGGACTAAAGAAGGGAGTAAAATGGCCACCTGTGAAAGCTCTTCAAGGGAGACAGAGCCACAGTGTCTGCTTGAAGAACTCATTTGTCATTAGCATTGCTAATTTATTGTAGACCCACAACTTGGAAAGAAGCCCAATGAGATGGAATTGGCATCATCCTGCTTTCCTCAGAGTAGCATGGTCCTTTCCTCAGAGTAGCATGGTCCATTCCAAGCCATTTAGGGATCTCTTGTGAATACTGTGCAACACTACCTTCTGGGACAGTCTTCATTTTTTTCAGTCTGTTCTCCACATGATCACAGCCTAACCACATAGACTAATAACTTGTGAAAAGTGTCTCTTACAAACTCTGTGTCTTATGTATCTGTTCAAGAATTTTTTTTTCTTTATTTATTTTACAATACAATTCTTAATACAAGAATTTTTAAATTTTAGAATATTTAATCTTTCCATTTGAGGTACAAAATTAAGATCTGCCAAACCCAGGTTAGCATTTCAGTTGTGTCATTTGCTAGTTGGAGACCTTTCTCAGCTACTTAAGCCTCACCTCTCCTTACTGTGAATTAGGAATTCCTCTGCCATTTAGGGATGTTGTGAAGATTAAAACA